ATGAAGATATTCAATTCAAATAAATTTATTCGACATGATACAATAAAATTATGCATGTATATAATACTGACATGAAAAAAAAGAAAAAGAAATGTATATATAAACCTCTTTATATTAATTCCCCCCCCCCCACCCCCAGTGGCACAGCGGTATGTCTGAGGACTTACAGTGCTAGAAACCTGTGGCGAGCAGAGCACAGATAGCCCATTGTGTAGCTTTGTGCTTAATTACAAACAAACGAAAGAGTTACTCCGAATTAATTTTTTCTGTTCATGCTTCTATATTTGAAATATTTCTTTCAATCAGTTGATGGAGCTAGTCCAATTTTTTTGTGCAATTCCCTCACAAAAGCCCCTCAGTGGCACAGCGATATGTCTGCGGACTTATAACGCTAGAATCTGGGTTTCGATACGCGTGGTGGGCAGAGAACAGATAGCCCATTGTGTAGCTTTGTGATTAACTTCAAACAACGAACCAACCAACCCTCATAAAAATGAAAATTATTTATTCTTAAGTTTTTTCAGTTGACCATTCAACATGTGGATCGATGTTGATATTAGTAATAAATTGTAAAAATTGATAATTTTTGTGTAATGTACTCTTAAAAATAAGCATTTTGATATATACATTTGGCTATTGTATATATATAAATTCATTTTAAAATTGCCATCTTATAGGAAAATTATATCTATGATAGTGCATGAAGCAAACAACTAGTTTTAATGTGTTCTGTAAGTAAGTTAGTTATACTGTATTGTGTCTTTAATATTACTGTCATTAAATGTATTTGTTATAATGTTAAAGATATAGATATATATTTGTTCTTATCGTTTTCCCTTTTTTAGAGTTATATATTTATAACAATTATTTTGTATTTCTAGCTTATTATATAGAATTAGGACTAATCTAAATCTTCTAAACTGGCTGAACCCTATATGATAATATTAGAATTATGAGTGAAAATGTTGTTAATAATGAGGGTACCCACTGATAAAACAGTACAATCTAACCAAGTAAGAACATGAGAGATGTATATTCAATCAATTATATTCATTAGTTTGGTTAACTTTTAGTTCTGATCTGTTTAGGTATCTTACTTTGATCAGAGTTTGATGTTAATCCAAACAGAAAAAACTTGAAAGTTTAAAAAAAATATTAATTGCTATTCAAGAAGGAAAATTAAATGTTTTTTAAGATTTTGAGCGTAAGATATTTTGTGTAGTAGTGTGAGCATTGAAACTTCTAGTATATGTTCTTGTGATTAAGTCTGAACACATGTTAAGAATAAGAAACAAAAGGATTCTGAGTATGAATGAGGCTTAGTGAATTATTTTTCAGATCAAAAGAAAATTGTCAAATATATTGAATAATTATTGCTATCAGAATTCTGCTGTGCCTTTTTTTCAGCAAATTGTTATTATTCACAAATATATGATTTTTATTAATGTTTTATTTCATCACATATTCATATCTTCTAAGCTTGAATTCTGAAGACTTATTTCAGATGGAGAATACATATTTATTGACCAGAATATCAAACTAGCTAAATATGCTCCAAAAGGATGGAGAAATCAAGCAGGATCGGTAAGTAATCTGTCATACACCTTGGAAGTTCTTATTTGTAATAAATCAGGTACAAAATATTCTACGGGTGCTTAAGTTTTGATTTAGTAGCTGTATCAAGCATTTCTGTTAAAGAAAACTAAAAGAACTTAGTAAATATACAAGAAGAATTTGAGGGAAATTGATTGAGGTGTTTAAGATTGTTAATGGAATTAATAGTGTTGATGCATAATCTTTTTTCTTACTTAACAGTGAGAATAGTAGGACTAGGGGACACAAATATAAATCTTGGCAGGGTAGGAGTTATTTTCTGCTTAAACAGCTTTATTTTTATAATATGGTGGTTGGCCTGTCGATTGGGTTCTTTCATATGTGATAGATGCAGTTAATTTGAATAATAAGGGCTAGCTTTGAGTGTTTTATTTTAGGCTTAGTAAAGGGTCTCTTGTTGCCCCTAACTTATATATCTATGTATAGATATTTGTATGTATGTATATTTTCAGGTATTGTTAAACCAACCAGGCTTAATGTGCACTGTACTGTAAAAAAGATAGATACCTTGTTTTTTTTTAACATATTTGTCTAAACATATCATGAACCACAATAGTGGTTTATAATCGGGATTGCAAGGTATTGCACGAAACCCTAATAGATTGTTCGAGCAAAAAGCACCTTAACCAGTAAAGATGAACTTCAAACAACACTTTAAAACCTTTACTGTTGATTTCTAAGGCTGTATGCATATATAAATGCACAATAAAAAGCACGCATGTTAGACTTGCAAGGAAGAGAAAATCTGCTCAGATCGACCCGTTTATAATTCTTCTTATTATTGTTATTATTTTTCACTTACCAACCTGCGACAAAAACGGTTTGGTGTATTGCACTCAAACCTTTTGTAGAATACTAAATAAGGTACTGTGAAGGTTGTAGGGCTATTGAAAAGTAGATTTGTTTCTTCTATATTTTACATAAGCTAAAAAACATCATAATATTAATGTAAACGATGTCATCATTACCCCTTGTAGCTAGTCTTTTTACAGGTGTGTGGTATTCCTTTAAAAAGCTTAAGTACAGGGTGAAACAAGAATTACCAGCCAGTAACAGATGAACATTTGATGACTGTAACATGTAGATATTCAATGCTTTGTACACTATACAATCAGTGTTTTTAGGGAGCCAACCTCTAAATTATGCATGAAATGAAGGAGTAAAAAAAATCAATACACAGAATATTAAATTTTATTACACACATTTGTAAAATAATTACTTTATAAGACAAAAAAGTGTGTTTAAAGCGATGTTTTAGAGGTATATGTTTTATTTAAAAAGGTTTCTTTTCTACTGGTAAAATTTTATATGAGCTTACTGTGGGGATTTGTTTTAGTCTGTAGACATATATTTACCCATTGTTATGCATTATATATAGAGAATTTAGTTACACAGAAACTATAAATGCTAACTATATCCTCAAATAAATCTCCATGATATTCTCCAGCTGCAGCTTAACATTTTACATCTCGAACTAATGTGATCAAATAGTCAATAATTACAGTAAATCATCATGAACTGTATCAGCTAGTTACTAGCTATGTTTATTATTGTTACAATGTATAAAGTTAGCTATCATAGCAAGTAATCCTTTGCCCATAGTTGAGCATAAAAAAAGCCAGCAAACAAGATAAGTAAAAAATTATGAATTTACAAACCTGCAAATAGAGATCGTAAAAAAAGTAAGGAAAGAAAGTTGGAGATACTGTAGACATTATTTACTCAAACTACAAACCCCTAGTTTGATTCCACCAAATGTAATTCTAGGTTACAGCATGGAGCTAAAATAGGGGATTGTAGTTTGAGTAAATAATGTCTAGATTATCTCCAGTCTTGTTTCTTACTTTTTTATTACGATCCCTGTTTGAAGGTTTGTAAATTCCCAATTTTTTACTTATCTTGTTTAAACAAAATTTCCAAAAGAATTTTCTGGATACTTTAATATGGCACAGAAAATAAGTGTGGCATTTTTACTAGCCGAATATGGATTCTTTTTTTTTTTTAAAGACAAACAAGAATATCCTCTTTCCACAAACTTTTAATACCACAAAGTGTAGAATTTCCTCATTTGTCACATGACACTCGCACACGAGTTCTCCAAGTTATTAACACGCAGACAAATAGCTCTTGCATTTAAAATGTTTTGTAATTGCACCTGGATATATATACCTGTGCTTTATAATTATAAAGAGCAGTGTTTAAAATGATTTATTGTATTCCAAGTTTTCTTTTTCTACAGTACAGTAAATGTCAACTTAGAACACGTTAACTAAAATATCTAGTGAAATAGATAAGTTTTGGAGAAATTAATTTTTTAAATGAAAGTTTTGTTAAAAAAAAAGAAGGGAATAGTTTATAAATTCATACACATACACACGTGTTTGTACTTACACAGTATTTATATATATATATATATTTTATGTTTCATTATATATATGATGCTACATACCCGTGATGATCTGTTGTATATTTTCTCACCTAGGGAGTTGATGCTACAGGAGTACCATACCTCACACTTTATTTACTTGTCCAGTTTTATGTTGATAGTCACTTGCTCATCAGGTAAGAAGTACAGTTTTGAGAAAGTTCGTTAAACATATTTCCCAGGTAAACTTATATGCCTAAGATATACAAGTTTTAAAATGCATTTGATGGTACGTTGTCTTATTAGTTTCATAAATCTATCGAACTGCTACATTTTTTCAGTTTCATGTATGGTTGTGCTTTTGAAACTCTTTAACTTGATAATTTTCTAAAATGATTACTATTGTAAATTACTTTACAGTTTTAGTAAATAAAAATATTTTCATAACAGAGATGTTGACATCTCCACAGTGTTTTATAGCTGACATTGACAATATTTATATTGTTATACCATTTTTAGTGCATCTATGTCTGTTAAAAGATTGTCGTATGCCATTTATATTTTCTTTTACAATTGGTACTTGAAACTGTTGGTACTTGGTAAAACTCCATAATTACAGAATTGAGGAAAAACAAGACAACTGTAGGTTTATTCATCACCATGGTTTCATCAGTAAAGGTCTTTGTGGTGAAACCATGGTCGAAAATATGTGATGTACTTGTGAAACGTACAGTTTTTTTGTTTTACCTCAATTCTATATTTTCTTTTCGTTAGAAAAGTTAATAAAATCAGTGTTTATTTATGAATTCAGTGACAAAATTGCCCGACACCACTACTACCTCCAGTTACGTGAAAATGTGATAAAGTATCGTCATTCTCTGTCTGACGACAGAGCCTTCATTCTTGCAGCATATGCATTACAGGCAGATGTTGGAAACCTGAACAAAGGGAAGCATCATGGCAAATATTTTGAACCATCTGTTTACTTCCCTTCGTGGGTATGTTATACATTTTGTGATGTTATATGACCTGTTCATTACTGATATGAACTGTATTCTAACAGTAAACACAATCAGATATGAAACTATATAACTCAAGTGGCTTTTGATAGTGCTCGGGTTATATGGTTTCGTATCTGAAATTGATTTCTTGAATCTACATGTTTTGCAAACATTAACGTAGTACAACCTGATGAACAAATTTAAAGAAATGGTGTAACATAACTGGAACTCATCTATTAATACCTTTTTAAGAGGTCATAATTGTCTCTTTATAGAATGTAACTTACAGAAATGCAGCCTACAATATACCCTGTGATCTTTTAGTCAAGGAACAAAATACTAAACACTGGGTTTGTAATGAATGTTACTCTTTATGAGAGTGAAAGACATTTTCAGGTTTATTCTCGGGCTGTCCAGCACATGTCAAACATTTAACTCCTTCAAATGGCATCTTCCTTTTTTTTATGTGATTTTTTTTCTAAAATATAATTTTAACTTTTTATGCCTTTAGTGATAAGTTTTTATCAGTGTCATAATATTACATAATGTTTTGGGACAACATGGGACCTATTGGTCCATCCTCTAAACTAAATTAAAATAATTTAAACATTTTTCTAGAGCTAGCTCTTATCATTCATAAACCTATCAAGCTTTTCCTTAAACTCGTTTAAATTTACTGCCTCTACCACATCCGAGGACAACCCATTCCAAAGGCCAACCACCCTGTTAGAAAAATAAAACTATCTTAGCTGAAGATGACTCCTACCTTGTCAAAATTTATATTTGTGTCCATTAGTTCTACTATTCTCACTGTTAAGTATGAAAAAAGATGATACATCAACACTATCAATTCCCTTTACAATCTTAAACACTTCAATCAGATCCACCCTAACTCTTCTTTTTTTCAAGAGAAAACAATTTGAGAGATTTCAGCCTCTCCTCGTATGACACGCCCTCCATCCTAGGCACCATTCTAGTAATCCTTACCTGAACCCTTTCCAACAATTCAATGTCCTTTCTAAACTAAGGAGCCCAAGACTGAACACAATCCCCCAAATGTGGCCTAACCAGTGGCCTGTACAATGAAAATATAACATCTTTAGACTTGTAATCAATATTTCTGTAGATACAGCCTAAAATCCTACTTGCCCTACCACTAGCAACAGCACACTGCTTGGACCGCTTTATTAAGAGATTGATCGACTATTACACCAAGATCCCTTTTTTTTCTGACACTATTAAGGTTATTCCCATCCCAATTATACTTATAATTCAAATTGTGATACCCCACATACATTATCTTGCA